ACCCCCCCCCCCCCCCCCCCAAAAAAAAAATTAATTAAAAAATCAAAACAAACAACCCCCCCCCAAGAAAAAAGATTTGAAACAAACAAACAAATAAACAAAACACCGTTTTACACACATAATATCATTATATTCTTCACCTATCACTAAAGCTTCACTGGTGACCTTGACCCACACGATAGTACAGATGATTCCTGGAAAAGCCTGCACGATGACAATAGCGCCGTTCATGAAGATCCAGTTGAGGTCTACTCCAGACTGTATCACGGCCAGGCCTTCATAGATAGTAGATAATAGATAGATAGATAAATGTGTAATGATACATACATAATCATTTGTGGCTTGGTAGAAGGCGTAAAAAAAAGAAAGTGTCAAGTAATATAAACATAGGATTTTATTGAAATGGGTGGATGGCTGCAAATCAGAGTTATGGCCTTTACACATTATTCGCAATTCTATTTATTGTTTGATAATAATATGATACTTCAGTCCACAAGTGGTTATTATGTTTTTCTTGTTTTCGTTTTTCGAAACGGCCTTTAGGTGACTAAGACCTTTTTTTCCGACTCCGCCAATCTCTTTTTCTTCCTTTTTTGTGATTTCCTTATTGATTTTGAACGACCAAGGGATGTTTTAATGTGCCCAACCCAACTTGCACACGGGACGTCCGAGCATTTTTCGCCCTTCTCCGAGAAGGCAAGGTGTTAGTTCTTACCTACCAAAAGATCACGTGTGTGGTTGAAATACAACAGTAAGAAGGAGCCAAGCAGTAAAAGCAGACAGGCTGCAGAAAGGGTTAGCAGCCTAGAGGAGGGGCCAAATGAGGTGAGGGCGTTGGGGCAGAAAGTAGAGACGAAAGCAGTCGACAGAACAATGTTAGAGAGCAGGAAAGGAGGTGAAAAAAAGGCATTTCAGATAAGAAAATTGTCCGTTGTTGTCCTGATTCGAACACGGGACCTATTGAATGAGAGACGAAAACCGTAACCTCTCGACCCCAAGAGCCCCCACCTCTAATTTCAACTAATTTTGAAGAGGAAGATGTCAAGGAGACCTGTATCACTTTCTTGCACCACAATATGACCATAAAAGCACGAGGTGTCACTAAACATTAACATACACAAAAAAGGAGGAGGGGATATAAGGACGATAGAATATGTTTGATAGGAAAGAAAGAGCTAACCACACCCCTGTAATCGTCAAACATCGGTACAGCTGCCTACTCACCTAAAGGCACGATGCATATCGCAACCCACAATATGACCCAGTTCTTCTTCTCTATCAGAGTGTCCTGGTAGGTCCGGTACTGTCCGTGAAAAGGACATGTGTAGAAGGTGAAGGTCACAGTGTCACCTTTCTGTTTCTGATGCTGTCTGAGGAAAAAATATATGTAACATAATACAGTGGCGTCGGTAGTCTAGTGGTTAGGCTAACGGTCTCGTAAGCAGGCTTGTGTGAGTGCTTAAGTATGAGATAATAATATGTGTATGTGTATGTGTATGTCTGTGTCTGTCTGTGTCTGTCTGTGTGCGTGCATCTATGTACATGTGTTTGTGTGTGTGAGTGTGTGTGTGTGTGTGTGTGTGTGTGTGTGTGTGTGTGTGTGTGTGTGTATGTGTGTGTGTGTGTGTGTATGTGTGTGTGTATGTGCGTCTGTGTCTGTGTATATGTCTGCGCCTATGTATTCTAATACACATGTCGTGTTTTATTTGTACTTTTGAGACCAAAACAAAGCTGTCGTTTCCTCACTTTTCTAAGTCCACGACACAGTCCTTACAGTCGGCCACAGAAGGGCAACAACACATGTTGACCATGTCTTCATCGGATATTTCCTCGGTTAGCTCCCCTACTTCTTCCTTGCCACACAGCAGGCACATTCCTGGCTTGTGATTTTTCCTGAAAAATGGTGAAAGGGTATAGGCTTAATGCCCTTATTGACACAGTTTTTTTAAAGAGGCAGGGCCTCCGAGATTAAGGTCCATCTCCGAAAGAAAAAATGGTGAAATGGTAAAGGTTTGATAACGTCCACGTCAACACTGTTCGGTTATTTAAAAGGCCGAACCTTCGAGATAAACGTCCATTTTCAAAAGGACCTAGCCAAGTGGGAAATTTGTGTAAAGTGGCCTTTTCCTTGGACACAACGTCAGACCGAGCTGAGGCTCGAACCCCCTAAGTGATTTTTCCTGAGGAGCGCAAAAAGGTTATGTTTTAGTAAGTTTTACGGCACTTGTAACACAGTCAGGTCACGTAAGTGCCAAAGATTAGAGGAGTTGTAAGAGAGTAACAAACACGAAAAAGAAGGAGAAAAGATAAGGACAATAATTTATAGGTGTTTGACGGATAGTAAAGAAGGAGTAAACACACTAGAGTACCTACCAATCAACCCCATAAGACGTGTTGTAAACATCGCACAGACATGGGACGTGTATGGGTTTACCATCCCTATCAGCACTTTTAGCTTATTTAAGAGGTAGGACCACCGAATTTAACGTCCATCCCCAATAGGACCGAGTCCTATAGCTTTTGAGACCTCAAATCTTCACAAAGCGACTAAAGCTCAAGATCGCCCAGTCAGGCATTTGAACCAGGATCACCTTCTCCGTAGTCCAGCATGATATCGTCTACCATAAGGGCTAACGGATCATCCTGAAAATATCTTATTAAAGAAACAGAATAAAATAAAGTGTCTTAAAATGGCTAACCTCTATCATATAAAAATATTATGAGAATGCGTGTGCGTTTGGGCGTTGTAAGAGTATGTGTGTGTGTGTGTGTGTGTGTGTGTGTGTGTGTGTGTGTGTGTGTGTGTGTGTGTGCGCGCGCGCGTGTGTGTGTGTGTGTGTGTTTGCTGTTATCATTGTATTTGCTGATAAATTGCTTTGCGATATTATACACTTTCTGTCTTTCGAGTTGGCAGTTGTGCATTGTTTCTGGATTATATACATATATATTATATCCACATTTTCATGTATCATTAAGAAGGTACACATTTGTTCAAAAAGATATTATGCAGTTATATAAACATTTATTATCTATTTGTTGTGGCCGAATTTTGCTATTCAAAAGGCTTTTTAACTGCTGAATCGATCGTGAGGTTTTCGCCAAAAGATTCTTTAAAATATTCCCCAGAGCATGACGCCCTTGGTTTTTTCAGTTTTGAGACAGTTTCGCTGCGAAAAGCTAAATTTCTTTATTTCGCCGATCGCTTTCGTAGGCCGACGTTTCTGTCTCTGTATTTTTAGAAAATCCGGAAGTGATACTTCGCGAGGCGCATTTTGTTTTGTTTTGAGAGTATAGATCTAGACCTTATCATTTTTTGCATCTCTTAAGATTTATTGCCCCATTCCAGTAGAGTGTAAATATAGTAGGTCAATGACTTTTAGTTGATATCAAAGCCCCGATCATTCCTTTCATCAAAAGGGGGCTAAATGTCTTTTTTTCGCCGATCGCTTTTGTAGGCCGACACTTCTGTCTCTGTAATTTTAGAAAATCCGCCAGGTTTGTTTATTTCAAGTCGTACTTCAGTTCGATACTATCGCGATTTGTCGTGCAATACTGAGCAATATTTTAAGTGTGCTACCCGTATAGATCTAGCCTCGTGTTTTCTTTTTTTTACTTGGTGCTAAATTCGACTGTGATCCTTTCGTTTGATTCAAATCATAGGTTTTTCTGGACTCCTTTGTCAAATCTTTTTCTTGCTACTCGGAACAATCAAAACGCTTCTGTCTCAATCCGTTCATCGAACGGGGGGCCCAGCTAGTAGTATATATTAGTACAAATGTTGTAATATAATATTAGATTTGTACAGGTGTAAGATAGAACAGCATAACGATCCAGAAAGTAGGGGTAACTAGACGGAGCAATAATCAGATAAATTTAATATGCATACCTTAACATGCTCTAAAAATATGCTAGCACATGCTGGCAGGAAACAAAGAAAACAGTGAAAAAAGAACCCAAAAAGATGGGAGGTTCTCTGAAACAGCACAGTTGTACGCCCATGACCTTAAATTTCACAAAGTAGTATTAAAGATTGTAGCATGAAAAAGTTTAACTTATTATCACTTCTTAAAATTCAAAAAACGAAAGTATGTACTGCTGGCGTCATCAAATTCTCCTGATACTTTTTACCATAGACCGAGTTATAGTATCCTTGACCAGGCACTGTCAGGGACGCCACTTTTTTTTTCTTTACATAAAATCTCCACACCGCCAATGTACGTCATGGGCGCGTAAATGAAAGGAAAAACACAAGTCTCGTTGAAGTCAAGAACATGTGCGACCTTTCCCTCCCTGCCCTTAATTTTGTTCTAAATAGAGTCAAATGCTGTGTTCCATGGTGAACAGGAATTGGGTAAGAGTGGAGTCCCAAACAGAATGGTGTGTCACGATCAGGGGCGGCCCGTGATTTGTGAAGCTGAAGGGCTATCATTCATATCGATCTCTTTTCCTCCCCCCCCCCCCCCACTCTACCTCAACCCCAGCCCCCTTATTTTTTTCCTCACCCCCCCCCCCGGCCTGGGGGTTTCCCGAACACCTATTCCCCAACCAATTTTTAACCTTTGGCTCTTGTATCCCGCCCCCCCCCCCCCCCCGTTTTTTCTCTTTTTCAAAAACCAAACTAACACCCCCCTGAGCCCTTGGGAACATGGTCCCCTTCCACTAACAATTCTTATATACATACAGGGGCGAAGGCTGACTTGTTTGACAGGGTAATCAAAGTGAAATGGGACCAGATCTGGCCTGTAGATATCACACAAGAATCTTACTCGAGGCGGCGACTCTGAGTTGTGAATGAAAACAAATCCGGAATTCATATTGGATGTTCAACCGCCAAAATAATCGGGAAAGTATCTTATTAAATATCAGTTCCCACTAAAATTAAACTTAACTTTAGATGTGAATACATAAACACAAAGCAAAGAAGCAGAGATGTCAGTACTAGATCTATATGTTATAGATCTACCAGTGAGTCTAACTCTTTGGTAGAACATGACAATTATTATTTTTTAAATTTCACATTTGGCTGTTTTTGTTAGCCTTTCGCGGCCAGGAGCTGGTGTCATAATCGAGGTCACGATCTGATTATAGGACGGTAAAACGTCGAGGAAAAAAAACAAGCACAAGCAGCAGTCAAGAGATTATTAAGAGTTAGTTCCCCTCACATTTGTGAGGTAGACTCGACCAGTGTTAGTTAGCTTACTTAATCAGGGCTTGTGTTTGATTTTAACTGTGGCCCCAAAGGGGTGAACAGGGTATATGTGGCAATGAAACAGCTTTGACTGCCATGCACATGTTCCCTTCAACTCTATTCCAGCCTCACTTTAAGCTTATTTAATCAAAGCTTTGACTGCTTATGGAGTGGGCCGAGAGGGGTGAGGAGGCTATTTCTGTGGCCGTGAAACCGTTTTGAATGTTAGGCATACTGTTCGTTGTTGGATACGAACGTCTTTTAACATTTAATTTATGAGGTTTACGTTTAAGGATGAATTTGACAGCGACAATGTTTCAAAATTAGAAAGGGAAGCAGTGATTATTTGATTATATAGACGCTTCGCCCCTGTATACATAATAACAATGTTAACGAGCTGATTTATAGAAGTCTTAAGAAACATAGAACCAAGATGATACCCCACCGCTGACGCTGTCCCAGGCAGACCAAGTCTGGGTAGAATCCGAAAAAAAAAAAAAAAAGGTCTACAATACACTTAACGCATACGCATTGAACAAAGCAAGCTCACAACAAATTCCAATTGCCATTTTCAGTGCACTGTTTGTTATTAAGCGAGAAACGGTGTCAATACTAATTTTAGAACGCAGTGTCGGGTTGAGGTGAGAACAGAGAAGGAGAAAAGGGAGGGGGCGGGGGGCTGTGGGGTCCAGACTGACAGCTAAGTGCTGTTCGCAAGTCAGCCCTCGAATCTCTCATCCGTTAAAATTCCTGTTTTATAGAAAGACTGGCCAAACCACCAACTCGCCGGGTGTGCTTTTTGGGGCCAGGTAAAGCTGTAGCAGGAAGTAAGCACAGAACCACGGATGTCTCAAAATTCAATTAGCGATAAAGATTTGAGCCATCATGACAGTTGATGTACGTTTTAACTAAAGACAGGTTTAATGATATATAGTACTAATGAAATTATAAGATGCATTGTTCAAGATAGTCCTGTCCTTTGTAAGTACAAGAAGAGCCAAATTGGCAATAAAGGTGATCTTCACGCGGGTTTTTCCACTCTGAGGGCGATTGCTCAATTCGCCGGGCTGTGTGACGTCACCGCTGAGTGCGGGATATGAAGGCGCGCAATGTGACATCAGCTGGTAACAACAACTTTTTGAGCCAGCGAGATAAACTGAGATTTAGGAACGAAGTTCTTAGGAACGAAGTTCTGTGGTGCAACAATACATGGGCGAGCCCTTATTGTGTCTTTGGGCGTATTTTATTGGGAAAGTGCAATGAATGTTGATAAATATTAATTTGGATTATCTTGAAACTGAATAAAAAACTATTATCAGCTGCCAATCTATTGCCCACTACAAATGAGTTTTGGGCAATCGCTTAAATATTTAGGATTTGCTATTTTTCAGAGATCCCGGGGTAAAGATTTGCAGCCATGACAGTGCCCGATCTGAGGTAGTATTAAAATTAGATCTACGATGACAACTCAGTTTTAGTAAGACTTTTCCGGCACTTACAACACAATAGGGTCATATACGTGTCAAAGCTTAGAGATGTTACAAGAGAGTAACAAACACAAAAAAGAAGGAGAGATGAGGACAATAAATTATATATTGGTGAGAAGAAGCAAACTACACAAGAGTACACACCAGTCACCCACTAGTCACAACTTGAAGCCAGACACATAGCAAATATTATACAAGCGAGCTGTCAGATGGCATTATTTATTCTTCCTTCATTACTAAAACTGTGAACCCATTTCTAGCCAAGCGGAATGAAGATATGAATTAATCTACGACAGGCGCGGTTCGTCCATAGAGCACGGTCGTGCAGTGCCGACCAAAAATTCTGAATGTTCTATTCCGTAAAACACCAACTATAATACAATAAAAGAAGCCAGAAACAAACACAAGCCAAATATTATATCAAAACAAAGGTCCATACTGGCGCCATTACTGTCATTTCTATGTCTATAGCGCCGTAAAACATCTACTATGCCATGCCAAAGTCCACGCGCTTCGGCTAAACAGAAAAGGATATTCAACAGTGTAACCTGAACTATAAATCGCTCTTGGAGATAACCCACGCGATGACGACACTCGTAACGAGTTTGGCGGTACATTAATATTAATAAGCCGGCACATCTCAAATGTGCTCCTGCCGAATAGTGCCGAAACATAGCCCACAGTAGGCAGTCTAAAAATAAACACGATAGACCAAACGCTCTTCTTTGCCAGTATTATGTGAGCCCCGGAGCAATCCTGCAGAGTGCTCAAGTGAATTGTGATTGGTTCATTGTTTGTCTTGCCACTATTTTAAGTGACTCTGTAGCCGTGAACCCGAGGGAGGTGAACGTGACCGTCCTATGAATTGTGCCTTTGAATGGTTTTGTAGTGGAGTAGTGAAAGTTATTACATGTACTTGAGTGTTCAGTTCCAATACAGGAAGAACGAATTGATGTCTAGCTAACAAACAAATTTAGTACTAGAAATCAAAGCGACCCGTAAAAAGAAAGAAAATAAAACCACGAGGCCCTCCCTCACCAACTCAAAGATCCCAAAATTATACACCGTCTCATTTATTTTGCCCTTGACTATCTTCAGCATGCCATAGCTTAATTATTATTGTGCACGCCTACTTTTTTGCCCCAAGAGCCGCCTACGAGTAATTCCATTCGATACGGTGTCAGGTTTTAAGTGTCGGTTATAGAGATATGTGATTTCCCGCGTGTTGGCTGTGCTTGGATGTTACTGCAGTGTGAAGCACAATTGTGAGGCAGCGTGGTGGAATCAGGCTCTCGTCAATTTTTGAGCATGTAGGGTTATTGATATCATCTTAAAGCTTGTTCACTTGTCTTTATTTGAATGAAAAAAATATTCATTGAATACAAGTCAAGATATTTGCTAAAGAAGGAGGTGGCGGTCACCCGTTTTCAGAGGTGAAATTAGTGTGAAAATGACTGCCAAAGATTAGTTAAGAGTCCGTGGTAACTGAAAATTTACATTTTTTGTGCCTTTAATTAACGTTTTTCAGAAAAATCCACACGGAAATGAGTTCTTTAATGGACATGAAAGATGTTGAGCCCCAAAAAAATTTGATAAAAATTCATAAACCTGCGGAAAAATGCAAGTTTCTTCACTTTGATTATTTTAACGAGAGTCTGATTCCACCACGCTGCCTCACAATTTTATAATAGGGCGTGCCCATTAGCGCGATCGGGTTTGGTCGTGTCTGGTGGTTTGAGTGCACACTACAACCCCGCCGTGATAGTACCCGACGACCAGGAAGTTAAAGTAGAGAAACTTTAAACCTCAATGGCTCCCAGAGCTCCTTTCCGCAGTTCCCTGTTGCAGTGCCCCGGCAGCCTGGAATCCCATAAACATGGGTTACTTTGATAACTTTCTATTATCAAAGATCGTTCAAAACAAGATAGTTCAATCTGCAAAAATATTGCCCTCTGACGTCCGCACATTGGTACAGCTGGCGCTGCTGTCTTTGTTTTGAAGCTCTCTTTCGTTTCTCCAAAAGAAGAATAGGTGTAGCACAGTTTGTTAGTTTCGCTTGTATTATTTTTCACACAAGTAGGGTAACTCTGATTGCAAAGTCCGCACTTTTTCGAAGAGGGCGCCACCGAAGTTTGAGTGTCAACATGGACACTTGTCTCAGCCTTGTTGTGATAGGCTGCAAACCACCGACTGTCAAATAGACCAGAACCGATCACAATAGTTAGCACCCCCTATTACGCTCTATGTAATAATATAAAGTCAAGTGAAGACGGTGTAAATGTATGCCATTGCCTTTTGTGGTGTGTGTGTGTGTGTGTGTGTGTGTGTGTGTGTGTGTGTGTGTGTGTGTGTGTGTGTGTGTGTGTGTGTGTGCGTGTGTGTGTGTGTGTGTGTGGAGGGGCGTATATTGATTGATATATATATATATATATATATATATATATAATTATATATAGTAATATAGACACGGAAAAAGAGAGGGGGGAGAGAGAGAGCGCGAGACACACACACACACACACACAGAGAGAGAGAGAGAGAGAGAGAGAGAGAGAGAGAGAGAGAGAGAGAGAGAGAAAGAGATAGACAGACAAATAGAGACAGAGGACGGGGGTAGGAGGGAATAAAGAAGGACTGACAGGCAGACAGACAGACAGAGAGACGGACAAAAACTAGACGAACCGATAGACCGAAAAGAAACGATTCTTCACGATAGATCTGACAAACAAACTGACAGACAGACAGAATAACTAACAGACGGAGAAACAGACAGACAGGCAAACATACAATCATACAGACAGACAGACAAACAGACAGATTGAAAGAGAAACATATATACATACAAACAAACAGACAGACATACAAACAAACAGACAGACAGAAAAGAACCCATCTTTTACGACAGAGCTACTACTACTGGTATTATTACCTATAAGGACAGAGATAACTCTGGTAGATGTCGTAGACGATGATAGAAGCCACGCCCATCACCTCGCTAGCCCCCGTAGACATGAGCAGCATGGTGAACATGATCAGAAGGATCACGCCCCCTTCTTTACCCAACGCGACGTCAGCGATGAATGGGGTGACCAATCCTGAGGAAGAAACGTTATTAGAAGTGTTTGTTTCGGCCAGAGTTTTATGGCGTTTGCATCACAAATTGGTCATATTATTATTATAAGTGCCGAATATTAGAGACGCTATTAGAGAGTAACATACAGGCTCCGTCTTTTCAAATTAATGTATTACTATGTCATTGCGGGCGGGCGTGTATGCGCGTGTGTGTGTGAGGGGACACACACACACACACACACACACACACACACACACACACACACACACACACACACACACACACACACACACACAGAGATAGATGAATAAATAGATAGATGGAAAGAGAGTGAGTGGGGGAGAGGGAGAGAGAGAGAGAGAGAGAGAGAGAGAGAGAGAGAGAGAGAGAGAGAGAGAGAGAGAGAGAGAGAGAGAGAGAGAGAGAGAGAGAGAGAGAGAGAGAGAGAGAGAAAGAGAGAGAGTGGGGGGGATTAAAAGTGGGGAACGGGGTAGCAATTTTGGGGTGGGAGAGAAAGCAAAGAGCAAGTTTTGGTTGAAGTTAGAGTTTTGCAGGCACTTGCAACACAAATACGTCCTACTACAAAAACAAATTGAAGCTGTTGGAAGAATTACAGTACAGTGCTATAGTAAAGATAGTGGCGTCGGTGGCATAGTGGTTAGGCTCTCGGACTCGCAACCGTAAGGTCGTGGGTTCGAATACCGTCAAGAGCCCGACGTTGTGTCCTTGGGAAAGGCAATTTACACGAATTTTCCTCACTTCACCCAGGTGGGAATGGGTACCCGGCTATAGACAGCGAAAGATCTTGTCAGTCTGTTAGTGTTTGAGCGCTTAATCGGCTGCTTGCACGGTATGATTCCCGGGAAGCTGATAATGTTTCGGGGTGTTCTATGGTCTGCTGGGGTAATAATATAGTGTAAAGCGCATAGAGCCTGCTGTTGAGCGGGGATATGCGCTATACAAATGCTATCTATTAAGATGCTGCGTGCTCGTTTAGAATCATCATCATCATCATTGTAAATAACAGGGAATAAAATAGGGCTGACACTTGTAGAATTTTCAAATTTAATACAGGTTCAACGTTTTCCCCCTTTTCATCATTATCTGCTCGATTTGCGGCAGACATTGACGATCATGGTTCTTCATTTATTCCTTTACTCGAAAAGAACTACGTTACCCCTCTGTTTAGGTTTCTCTGGGCCTACCCTCGCCTCTGGACATTCTTCTATGTTTCTAAGATTTGTTTCATTGTTTAAAAATGTTCAAGAGGTCTGGTGACATGGCACATCCCTGCTTCACTCCTCTGCTTTTCTGCTTATACATGTATTTTTATAGTAAAAATCGTTAAAACCTATACGATTTTCTTTTTCACACCTGCGTCCAAATCTGCATCAGAGAGAGCCATCCTTGTCAACACGATGTTGCTGCTGTTCCTGAATCCCCCAAGGCTACTGTTAGCGATGATCATGCTGCTGTCGTTGCTGATGCTGCTGATGGTGCTGCTCATGGATTTGCTGTAGGACAGATAGGCAAGGCCGGCGGACGTGCCGATGGTGGAGGGTATCGCGAACCAGATGAGTGTGGCGAAGAAAAAGCCGAGAACTCCCTGGGGAAGGAGGTGGTGGGGTTTGAACTAGGGCGAGCTTGTGTTATTGATGGGGTAGAGGGTGACATGGCAAGAGAGGGAGGGTGGAGATAAAAAAAAAGAAAGACAGAAAGAAAGAGAGAGAGACAGAGAGAGAGACAGAGAGAGACAGAGAAAGAGAAATCGAGAGAGAGAGAGAGAGAGAGAGAGAGAGAGAGAGAGAGAGAGAGAGAGAGAGAGAGATAGGGGTGGGGGGGGGAGCGAGAAGGGAGAAAACTAAAAAAAGTGGTGAAGGAAAGGAAAAGAGAACAGTCGAAACATAGTATTATGGGGAAATAGTAATAGACAGAGACAGAGGCAATGAGACAGACAGTAAGACACACGCAGACACATACACAGGTGGACATACAGAGACAAAGACACCGACAGAAACAGACACTGTGACAGATACAGTGGCAGACACAGAAAACAGAACTTTCTTTTTTTTTAAAGAGTTAATCTACCTGCAAAGGTTTTGCGGCGATCTTGCTCTGCCAGGAGGCCTGGTCACAGAAGACCAGGCCCAGACAGATGAAGGTTCCCTGTCCCGCCCACACCATGGAGCCAGTAGACCAGAACGTCAGGTAACTCCTGTCCTCGTTGTCAGCCGGACCTGTAAGGTACAATGTAAGTGTTTTTTCGGCGCTTGCAACTGCATAAGGTCATATTATGAGCGGGCAGGACACACCAAACATTTTCAGTTGGTAGAAACGTTTGAATTTTGCCACGGTGGCGACCGAAGCCTACTCTATTCGATTTTGGACCACCAAGGGATCTTTAACTTTTCGCAACTTGCACACGGAACCTCCGAGATTTTTTGCCCTTGTCCGAGAAGGCTGGGTGTAGATCTTTCCTACCAGAAGATCAGGGGCGTGGCTGAAATACAGCGGTAAGAGGGAGCCAAGGAGAATCAGCAGAAAAGCTGCAGAAAGAGTCAGGAGCCAAGAAGAGGGGGCAACGGAGGTGAGGGGTGAGGGCAGAGAGTGGAGACGAAAACAGACGACAGAACATTGCTAGAGAACAGGAAAGGAGGTAAAAGGAGACCATTTAGAGAAGAAAAATGTCCGTCGCTATCTGGACTCGCACCCGGGACCTATTGAATGAGAGGAGAACACCTTAACCTCTAGGCCCCGCCGGGCCTGTAAGTGATATCGTCGCCTCAGAACTATTTTGTCCAAAGTGCGCTCTATTGTTCAGTGTACTTTGAACATAATCAGGTTGTGATCTGAAGATAATGTGTGTCACATTGTGATGGAAACAGGCGCTCATCAAATATTGAAATCGAAGAAAGGGATATTCCCCCTACTGGGCAATTGTTATCAGCTGTTTTAACATTTTTGTCCCAACACCTTTTATAGTGCCCTTTTAAAGACATAATTTATTCCATTCATGTATATTAATATACTGAAATACTTTGATGAAAGGCACACAAATGTAAATATGCAAGTTTTTTCAGGGACACTCAAGCTTTGGAAATCCCTAAACGTTGGTGGCCATTGACTCGTTAAACCCCTGACAGCAGGCGACTCATATCTCCTTCAATTGTAGATACCTTGATTTATTTTCACGATAGGTAATATTTTTCATCAAAAGGAAGGCATATGAAAAAGCTTTACGGGGATACCAATACCTTCGTCAGCCCCAAAATCTTATAGTGTGTTAATAAGTGCTGATTATTTTCTGTCCTTTTGTGAACATATTTAATTAATGGTTGTGAAAGTTTTCTGCATGTGGTTGAACTTGTTTTTCGTGTTTCTGTGAAATATATAATTTTTTTCTTCTTTGAATGATTTTGTGATTGGTGTACATTGCTCAGAGCTTATAGTAGTATAAGATAGAGAGCTATATAAATGCAATCTATTATACCCTCATTATCATTGTCATCATAATCATCGTAAAATAAGGATACATATAGGGTAAAAGAAAAAGAAAAAGACTATTTTTAAAAACCCATAATATTAAGGGGAAAAAACCACGACAACGATGAACAAAAATAACAGTAAGAATAAGAATGAGAACAGAAAACTTGTCATAAGAATAAGAACAACGCAAATGTATATTACAGTAAAGGTCTGAGCACTGTACAAAAGTATATTATATGTCACGTATCTGCGCCAGACCTCTGTCCACTCACTCACCAACAAGCGAAGACACGTGCTCGTAAATGTCCTCAAAGTTGCCAAAAGGCAGCTGGTCATCCGGCATGTAGAAAATCTTGACCACGAAGTAGGAGAGGACACACAGGGTGAACACAGCGTTGAAGTAGGACACGTAGAAGGTGGAGCCCAGACCTCCGACAAAAGAATAACTACCTGTGGTCAACAAATGCGGAATTACTATCAGGAAAGGTAAAAATACGTTTCTGGAAAAAGGAAATGTTAAGTGAGTAACAAACAAGCAAACAAATAAACAAACAAACAAACGAACGAACAAACAAACAAACAAACAAACAAACACGCAAACAACCAACCAACCAACCAACCAAACAAACAAACAGACAAACAAACAAACATGCAAACGAACAAGCAAACAAACAAACAAACAAACAAACAAACAGACAAACAAACGAACAAACAAATAATAAAAATATAAACACACATGCTCAAACGCTATCTTTCGGCAAGCTGTTAGAATGTCGTAAGTTCAGTAAACATTACTCAAGAAAGAGGAAAAGGCGGTTTTATTCTTTTAACTGTTTTGTACTGGATAAAAAATATGTATATCACATATAAACAATATATATGTATATCATATAAACTAATTTATTTACATATTATATTATATATATATATATATATATATATATATATATATATATATATATACACATATATATATAATATATATCATAGATAGATAGATAGATAGATAGATAGATAGATAGATAGATAGATAGATAGATAGATAGATAGATAGATAGATAGATAGATAGATACTATTATATGTTATATAATATAGATGGATAGAAATCTTTCCCTGCTATTTTAAACATTTAAAATTAGAATTGAAAAGAATAATTTTCCAGCTCGTAAAGACGATGTCACAGATCAAGAAACTGAAATTTCAATGATTTTCAAAACCCTTGGCTTTGTACATTTAAACAGCTGACTGACAATTTTAACCATAATTATTGTCAGTTCTGATTAACAGCACCGACGGGAGATTCTGGCAAAAATAACCCGTGACAATAGCACTCTTCAAGAACTTGACGTTTCACTGAAATGTTCAAAGAGGTAATTAGTCGTTTCATTTTGAAGGCTTTTCCATTAACGTTCGTGCAAGCAAGATAAATAAATGAAATAAACATTTCCAAAATTGCAGTTTCGTCTCCTAAAGAGTCCTTAAAGCGAAACAATTTTTTCCAAACCTTATAAGTTAAAAGACCCTTGAAATTCCTTAAGGTTATTCAAGAGGACCTCCAAAATTATTGGGAAATTCATGGGCAGCACTTTTGACAAGTGCTTATCAACGCCACTTAAGTACTCTAACTAAACAAAGATTTACTTTTTAATGGCATTGAACAAGTTTGAGAGAACAAAAAATGGTTCATCCGTCAAAGTAGCAGCGAAGTGGTTAAGGTAGTTTAATGGAATATGAGCCACGACGTAGGGAAATCAGGCGCTTGTCAATTTTGGGGCATATGTCGTTAATGGTATTACCTTAAAGTGAGTCCATTTGTCTTGTTTTTGCCGAACAAAATTTATCTTGAATTGAAGTTAAAACATTTGCTTTTGAATAAGATGGAGGTTGCCTGGAGTTAAACGAAGTAGCAAGAACATGACCGCCTAAGTTTGGTGACTTTCAAAGCTTGAACGCTCTTGGTAACTGCAAATTTACATTTTCCTGTGCCTTTGGTAAACGTTTTTCAGTACAAACCACGCAGAAATACGATTTTAAATGTCTAAAAATAACTTCAATAAAAATTGCTAAGCGGGCAGAAAAATGCGTGTTTCTTCGATTTCGCGATATTGATGAGCGCCTGATTTCACTTCGATGCAACGCACAAGTTTTTTTTTCTCTCACCAAACATGACGGCCATTAGAATCACAACCATCTCGTTGCTAATGTCTTTGATGATGCTCTGAAATAACATATCATAATCATAATTAGTAAAAGTTTTAACGCGCTTGCGTCAATGTTATCATAGATCATATTTCAAGTGCCATAGATTACAGGTGTTTCTTGAAAGAAATATACAAATAAATAAAAGAAGGAAGTGAGATAACAGCGATAGATGTTTGATCGTAGAAAGAAGGAGCACACCGCACCAGACCACCCGCCAACCACCAGCATAAAATATAAAGGACTTTGTGAATGTGATGCATTGCTTGTTTTCCATCGAGGAAAAGAAAAGTTCAAATTACTGTCAACAGAGGAAACCATCCGAGACGGCTACCCGTAGCCACAGAACATAGCTGTTACTTTTATCATCTCGGTCTTTCCACTGGGGTGTTGTATGCCTTGCAGCCCGTGCTGGTCCTAATTTGCAGGGTCGAAAAACGCCCCCTAATTGGCCTAAATAGCGTCGATAGGGACGTAAAACACTAGCATTTAATTCATTTTACAAGATCAGAGAACAGACGGTCCGAAGCTGTATTTCCAACATACTTTTTACGTGTTTAATTTTTCTGATTTAATATATTATGTATAGGTGCTTTTCGCCCTCAACGACAGAATTTAGATCATTTAGGAGGTCGGCTTCCAAACCTGCCTGTCAGGTCCAACCCATGCTGGAGGGATACAACATCAAAGCAGATAGAACGAGATACTCGATCAAATATTTCTCCCAAATCGGGAATAGAACTCGGGTCTTCTACGCGCGACACCACAAACGCCTTCCTCACGTGGTTCTGTATACAGCACAGTTCTATTAAGTTATGTTCAGTTCTACCGTCCATACGCTCGAAGAGTGCAATTGAAATAAGATAATAATATTATAATGTCATACGAACTTATGGCACATTCACTACACATGACGAGTGTCTCGGAGTAAAATGACCTTAGGCTGGGGGTACGTTGACCCAAACGTGTGTACTTCAGAATAAAAATATAATTTGTGAGGCAACGTGGTGGAATCAGGCTCTCGTCAAAATAATCAAATTGAAGAACTTTGAAGCAACGATGATCCTGATCCTCAAACCAGGGAAAAATAAGGCACAACCATTAAGCTATAGACCTATCAGCCTCACAAGCTGTGTATGTAAGACAGTGGAGCGCATCATAGCTTGCAGAATGCAGTGGTACAACAAATCCTAGTACCAGAACAAGCTGGATTCCGTCAGTTCAGGAGCACAGAGGACCAAACAACATACTTGTCCCAAGTTATAGAGGACTCCTTCCAGGCACAAAAAGTGATGCTAGCAACTTTTGTTGATCTACAAAAAGCGTTTGACAAGGTGTGGAAGGAGGGTCTACTAGTCAAGCTCCTTAGAAGTGGTATCCGAGGCAACATGTACCTATGGACCAAATCCTATCTACACAACAGAAGAGCACGTGTGCTGGTGGATGGATATCAAGGACCGAAAATGCTGCTGCGACAAGGTGTACCCCAAGGTGGAGTCATGTCACCTTTGCTCTTTATCGTCTTCATCAATGACCTCATGAAAGAACTGCCCAAAGGAATACATGCCGAATTGTATGCAGACGTCCTGGTTCTTTGGTGCTCGGAAGAATTCGTCACTACAGCCACATATCGCATGCAACTAGTATTGGACAAACTCACTACATGGACAAAAACCTGGTGTGTAACCGTGAACAAAGAAAAGTCTTCTGCTACACTCTTCACTCTCAGCCAGGCTGAGCCAAAACACCTCACATTAGACAAAACCCCCCTAAAGTTCGAGAATCAACAGAAGTATCTTGGAATAATCTTTGACAAACGGCTCACATGGAAACAACACATTCAAAATGCAGAAACTAAAGCCAGGAAGAAACTTAACATCATGAGAAAACTAGCAGGGACTCAATGGGGAGCAAATGAGAAAACACTTAGACAGGTCTATCTAGGCGCAATCAGGCCCCCATCTCGAGTACGGATCCAGCGCATGGATGACTGCAGCACAGACTCACAAATACACTCTGGAAAAAGTGCAAAACCAGGGTCTCCGAATAATCATTGGAGCAATGAGGTCAATGCCTATAGAAAAGATGGAACAAAGAACATCTATCGTGGCCCTGAAGAGGAGATGGGAATGCAAGGCCCTCATACAGTACACCAAGGCCACAGCTATGGAGGATCATATACTGCACACAAGAACAGCCAGATCAAATACCACAAGACTAAAAAGGCCCAACTTCATCAAAGAAAGCAGAAAAATCCAAAGATCCCTACAGGACCATCTACCAGCCAGCGTGAACATGCTGAATCACACCCCAGAGGCACCATCATGGGAAAAGACAAACACAAACATAATTATACACACGTCCATTCCTATGTTCACCACAAAAGATGACCACAGCGACATGAGCAAGAAGTCCCTCACCCTGTCCATGCTTGAACAAAGATACCCACGAGAAGCATGGATAAGGATCTATACAGACGGATCTGCCACTGATGCTGTGAAAAGAGGAGGAGCCGGAGTGTACATACAATTCCCTAATGGACGACGACAAGCAGAGGCAGTCCCAACAGGGCGACATTGTACTAACTACAGGGCAGAGACGGAGGCTCTAATACATGCAGCAAACATCATCAAGAATGTGGTAGACCCCCAAAGCCAAGTAGTTTTCCTTACAGATGCCATGTCAGTACTGCAGGCAATCACTTCCGGCAAACTACCAAGGCTACGAAAAGAAATTGAGGACATCCCATGTCTGAGGATCATGCTGCAGTGGATTCCATCACACTGTGGTGTCTTAGGAAATGAGCAGGCAGACAGGATGGCCAAACTAGGAGCACAGAAAGAGCAACCAGACAACAGCGTTAACTACACAGAAATAAAAACTATTATAAGTACACTTTTTAAAGCACCTCAGACACCAGATGGCTACCTTGAGTGTCCCGCCAAGAACAAGTGATTATCTTCAGACTAAGGACACAACACACAAGACTGAGACAACATATGTACAAATGTTTTAAACTAGTACAATCACCAAAATGCCAGTGTGGAGAGGCGGACCAAACTGTTGAACACATCCTTCAGCACTGCAAGACACACAGGGCCCTGAGACAGGAAACGTGGCCAACCCCACTGACGCTGCAAGAGAAGTTATACGGGCCGACAGATGAACCGAGCAGGACGGCCCAATTTATGAAAGATACCAGACTTCAAGTGTGATGCGATCGAGAAGAAGAAGAAGAAGAAACTTTCATTTTTCCGTAGGTTTGTGAATTTTTATCCAATTTTTGGTTTTTGGCTCAACACCTTTCTGCCCATTAAAGAACCCATTTCTGTGTGGATTTTCCTGAAAAAAAAGTTGATCAAAGGCACAAAATAATGTAAATTTTCAGTTACCACGGACTCTTAAGCTAAGAAAATAACTAATCTTTGGCGGTCATTTTCTTACTAATTTTATCTCTGAAAACAAGTGACCTCCACCTTCTTCATTCGCAAATATCTCGACTTGTATTCAAGATTAATGGATATTTTTTAAATCCCAATAAAGACAAGTGAATAAGCTTTAAGATGACACCAATAACTCTACATGTCCAAAAATTGACGAGAGCTTGATTCCACCACGCTGCCTCGCATTTACGTGCAGAAAGAGCAAGCGTCACGAACTCAATTTTTGTATAATTTGTAAGCCATGTCGTCGATTCTCGCACTATGGAGTACCGCCCTCATTCCCCCCCTCCCCCACCCCCAACCAAGAACATTTTTAAAGGACACAAGAAAAAACAGAAACAAAACAAAACACCCATAATCACCGTGTTGTTTCGCTCCTGTCAGCCGTGTAAATGTCTCTCTGCGGGTGCTTAAACGACACACAGTGGGCAAGCTGTTCAAACGTACTGCGCCTAGAAAGCATTTTTTTTCGAGAAAGAGGGAGAGAGAGAGAGAGATAAGGAGAGAGAGAGAGAGAGAGAGAGAGAGAGAGGGGGGAGGTGGGGGAGGAAAAACCATTTTTCTGTTTTATTACAGTATTTCCATTATGTAACCTTACTTGCTTTTTTCATTTACATTTTGAAATTCGAACAAATATTTTTGTACACATACAAATGATGCCATAAATAAAGTATTTGGAATTTTTAAAAAAATAGAAATTCAAAGTTGAAGGCTTAGTGGAACTGAAATGCTGGCCGATAACGGTATGCTTCTCATTGCTTCTTGAGGTAAGAGAATTGGACGCTTAGCTTTTTCCTTGCCTTACAAGAGTTTTACGGCACTTGCAACACAATTGAGTTGTATAGGTGCCGACGATTTCAGGCGTTGCAAGAAAGTACAGTGATAAACACAAATAAAACGGAAGAGAGATAAGATCAACAGACGTTTGATAGTAAAATGGGGAGCAAACCACACGAGAGCACCCGCCAATCACCCATGAAATGAATGTGACACATAGTTGCACAAACAAGTGAATTGGTTAAAATAACATTGTAATATAGTCGAAATTTTCTCACAAAACCAACCATCTTAGAAAAGAAAACTGATGGCTGGGTCTCTGGTGGCCTAGAGGTTAAGGTGTTGGCCTCTCATTCAAAAGATCCCGGGTTCGAATCCGGGTAGCGACCGAAAATGTTTCTTCTCTAAAATTGTCTCCTTTCACCTTCTTTCCTGCTTTCTAGCAAAATGTTCTGCTCTCTGCTTTCATTTCCACCTTCTGCCCCCACCCCCTCACCTCCTTTGCCCCCTCCTGTGGGCTCCTGACTCTTTCTGCAGCCTTTCTACTGCTACTCCTTGGCTCCTTCTACTGCTGTCTTTCAGCCACACCCGTGATCTTTTGGAAGGAAAGATCTGCACCTAGCCTTCGGACAAGGGGGAAAAATCTCGGAGGGCCCGTGTGCAAGTTGCGCACGTTAAAGATCCCTTGGTGGTCTAAAATCGATAAGAGTAGGCTTCGGCCGCCACCCGGGCAAAATTCAAAAATATCCTACCAACTGAAAATATTAGGTGTGTCCCGCGCGCTCATATGACCTATGCA